TCTAAGCTTTTCTTTTTTTTCTTTCTTTTCCCCCCTTTATTGTCTGAATTCTTGCTGCATTTTGTTTAACTGCCTGAAAGTAAATATGAGACTGTTTTGGTCATCACTCCTTGATAACACCCACATTGTCTACATGAAAAGTTGCATATCTTGGTATCTGCTCTACACATGTGTACACTTAACTATTGGATATGGCCAAGAGAGTGAAGTAGATTATTTGTGAACATAGTAGGCTCATTGTTAATGTCCCTCTTCACACACATGCTCTATTCTTTGGTGTAAATGAAAATGGAGTAACAGCTGAGTCGATGCCAAGAAAGAGGATTTGTGAGAATATAAAAGATTTGCACTGAGATGTGATGCATCTAACATGAAACAGAGTTGGACCTTACAACCCAGCAAGGGAGGCCTTCCCCTTCTTCATGACCCTAAGCTTCCAGATTCTAAAACACAAAATAATATACTTACCTAAGTTCATCAATGCCAACACATGGGAATAAATCCTGAGCTCTTTACCTAAATGCACTCCACTTAAACCAATGAGAGTTTAATTTAAGTAAAGATCAATAAAAAAATTAGAAAAGAACAAAAGGAACTGGCTTTTGCAGAAATGAATTTTCAGCATAGTGGAAGTGCAGTCATGTTATAATGCTTAAACCATAGCAGGGAGGACCAGCACACCATAACCGGTTATACGGACTCAATACATGAGCTAACATTTCAAACTGGACTACCTAAGCTTGTACACCAAAATCCATCTGTAGACAGCTAAACAGGTAGCTATAAATGTGGATATTGGTACCTGATCTTAAATCTCTAAATTTGAATTTGTTAATTATAATTTGTTGTGCTGTTTATTGTGCTGCACAATACATATAATAACCTTATGTATCTCAAAGGTGTGTTTCATTAATTAGATGTTTCAGAAGTACTTGGATGGAGTATACCAGAGAATCGGAAAGTATTTACTGAAACCCGGGAAATACATAGCACTGATTTCACTGTATATTGTAGCAGATCCAGAAAGTTGTGGTTATCTCTGATGCCATGATCCTGCAAAACACTGTTAGTATTGTCTGTAATGTAAACATTTTGATGATGAACCCATCTTCTTTACATAGATGCAGGCATATGTGTGTGTGTGTGTGTGTGTGTGTGTATCAAGATCTTGTAACAATGGGGAGAGTTTTCATAATTGTGTGCATGCAACTAAACATGCAAAAATATCCATGCATAATTGTGCCTGCAATGACCCAAATCCTTGTAATACTAATGTAATGTCTGTAATATGACTTGCAATACAAATACTAACTAACACTTATGGAAAAGGACAATTAAGAATCAGTAGGTATATTTACAATTTGAAAAGCAAACCTGTACCACAAAACAATATCTACAGCACTGAAGAGTTCTCTCTAGTGAGATGGATTTTTAAATACGTGTTTCCAATTTGGAAAACTTTTATTTGTTAACATCTGAACCTTGTAACACGTTCACGCTACCCCTCTAGCATTTAGTACAGGAAGATTCTATCGTAGGAATGTGGTGACCAAATCTCATAAGCTCTGTTCTTGTAACAGATGATGTCATTTGAACCATTTTATAACCCCTTATTTCTTAATTGATTACATACTGCTCATAGTGTATTGATTACATGCGCTATGCCTGGAATGATAAGTGATTCAGAAAACATGACCTGTGAGGAAAGGTTGACGGAGTTGCGTTGGGTTAGTCTACAAAAGAGAAGACTAAGGGGTGACCTGATAACTGTCTTTATATATAGATGGTGTGTGTGTGCGTGCATGTTTGTGTGTGTGTGACACTGTTACAGGGAAGATCGTAATCAGTTGTCCTCCATAGCCACTAGGGAAAGGACAAGAAGAATTCAGCGTAATTTGCAATAAGAATGATTCAAGTTGGATATTAGGAAAAGCTTTCTAACTGTTAGGATTCTGAAACCCTGGAATCGACTGCCTAGGCTTGTCATGGGCACTGCTTCATTGGAAACTTTGAGAAATGGTTAGACAAATATCTGTTGGGGATGCTTTAGGTGTAGTTGATCCTGCCTCAGTGCATGGGGTTGGACTGGATAGTCTTTTGAAATCATTTACAGCCCTTCATTTCTGTGATTCCCTAATTATGAGGTCAGCTGTCCACTGCCTTTGAAGGTCTTCCTCAATTCTCACTGAAAATGAGTCCTTGTTCCCTGACACTCCCTGATACCTGTTTCTGTATAAATATTGGGCTACGTACTTCCTGTTGTCTCCTGGGGCATGAATTTTATTTCACAGAACTATTTCACCTCTGCCCCGTGAAGTCATTTAATGGCACAAAATTCCTGCTTCTTTGCAACTAATGGAAAAAGTAAAGAGAAATCCAGTCATAGTTTACAACTATTGTGCCAGTGACATGCACAATACCGTGTTTTCCCTTTTGATGGACAGACTGTTTATTTTTCTACCAGCTGCATTCATTTAACATGTCATTTCCCTATTCTGTTTTGCCACAATTATACTTCATAGCTTGCAAGAGGGAAAATGTATTCTTTAAACAGCTTTTCTCCTCCATCGCTATATCTTAAGTAGGCCCATGTTTATAGTGGGTGGACCATGCTATCATCCAATGGCAGAATACAGTAAAGGAATCTTAGAGTTAAACTATGGCTGGAACTCATTCAGAAAAATTTAAAAATATTGTGACAGTCATGTGATCTTTATTAACTGAATAATTTGTATCTTTTGCAAACTTAAAACAAGAAATATCTTAAGGCAAGAAATATCAATTCCAGAAGAAAAAATGTCAAATGTATCATAATCTAAATGTATCATCATCTAAAGGGACAGGAAACTAGCTAAGGAAGCATTTCTTGAGTCTGCAATATCTGAGTACCCTATTACTAAAGTGTTTAGGCCTCATACAGCTTTCAGATCTAATTACAGAGAAAGACAATTTTATGGGACCCCAAAGAGTTATCAACTAGAATTAATTTTCCATATTAAATGTTTTGGACTGTGTCTGGGATGCATCCTTTTAGATGCCCTGAAGAACTTGCTATATTTGGTGAACGTCACTCATTGCTGGTTAAATCTGAAGAGCAGCATTTGAACACTGTACAAACACCATCAATGAGCTTTGAAGTCCCATGTTATGAAAGCAATTACTTGTATATTTCAGTTTAAGCACGTGGTTAAAGCAGCTATTAATCTTTTTACTGCTCAATCAATTCATGTGCCACCAACATAGTAAGAGGTAATTGAATTGCTACGTTTGGTAAAATGGGCGGTTCACCCTGCTGGCTATACCTGGCATGAATATCAGTAATGTAAACTAATTTCGTTTCCTAAAAATCAAAACTTATGGTGAACTGGGATCATGTCTAGTTAAAAGGCACTAGGAAACTTGGAAGGGAATTAAAGCTTTATAGCATTCAAGAGTATACTTATCATGGTACAGTTGTTTTTAGCCGAGCCATAGCTAAGTATAAAGCCTGGAAGAGAATAGAAAATTACCTCTGTGTCCTGAAGTCTGTTTCACATGTACATAGCAAAATAGGTAACAAAAAATAGCAGAAACTCTGTGAATAGGTGCTCAGTCTGTTGCTTTGTTTTAGGTTGAGATATAAGTCTTCTTCTCAGCTGTTCAACAGTAATAGATGTTTATTACAAACAAATCTCTTTTATAGGGCTACATTTTGAATCGACAGCTTCTAAAATTTGCCCATAAAATGTGTGTACACAGGGATGTGTACTGCCAACAATGTTATCTTCGTATCAGCCCCTCTTTTAGCTTGTTGGTTCCTTTTTTATAGAGAGCCTTCTCTATTAAGAGCCTAAATGAGTAACCAACTATTTGTACATAAGCCCATTAAATTTTAGAAGAAAGATTAGAACTAATGAGTCAACCTAAAACTGTTTAAAAAACCAAAAACACACAAGAGAAAGAACTACAGAACCCATGATATCTCTTTATTCTTACCCTGGTCTCTCCGGGTCACGCTCTGTAGTACATAACCAAGCTGAATTTTCATTGGAATTCTGCACGGTTCTGAATTTGGCTGTAGGACTCTGTGTATAAGCCACCCACACAATCCCTTTTTCCCACCAATAATGCTTAGCATTTAATTAAATGAACAAAACCCAGGAAATTCAGAATAAAAGGCTGAAATCCTAACCATGACGCAGTTGCTCATGCCTAGCCAAGTCAGGAGCCTCCACTGGGGATGAGGAGCTCAGCTATTTTATGGTTTTTAAAACAGTGGAGGGCAAATGGTGGTGTTTTGACCTATACTTTTCGATGTTCCAGCTTGTGGCAGATCAGATCCTTTGAAATGTTTGAACAGAGATTTCATTATGTGATTTAAGATAAGTAATAACAACAGATTCAGAGATCTGGATTTTGAAGATCTGGAGGGTTCATGGCAAATGTTTAGATCCCAGGTTTTAGTTCAGTGCTGTGCTGAGATATAGATGGGTATCAGTCACACTATATTTGGAGTTGGAGTCCTTTTCAGATTCTAGAATTTGGGTTTGGACCCAACTCTGACACTGAATATTTATAGAACAGCTGTTACGGTTATATAAACATTTTCCACACTAATAAGCTGCACAGGTTTAAGTTTCACTGGGCACATTTACATGTGCATTAAGGTACTTTTTCTAATGCACATTAAATTTAGTACCTCCAATGTTAGGTACTAAAGAAATGTGCATTAGGCTGCCTTACTGTGCAGTAATGAATGTGCATAGTTTTCAAGTGTCGCTTGCAGTAGCCTATTTTAGTGTGCATTAGTGTAATCGCATGGTTTTTGATGTGACACTTTAATGGGCAGTAAAATAGGCTACTGCACATTAAAGTGCATGTGTAGACATGTCCACTGACAGATTAACAGTGCTACCCTCTGTAAAACTATTTTGGGTGGGTAGGGTCTTATGAGGAAGCCTCTGTTAGACTTAAGAAGGGCCTGCAGGTACAAATCTAACTAGTGGTTTTCAGAAACTCACCACATTTTCCACATTCTCCTTCCCGTAGACAAGCTCACATTCTTCTGCATGCCCATTGCAAAAGCAACTTCCTCGGACAATCAGGTCATAAACAGCATAGTGGGCAAATCTCTGAGGTTTCTCCAGCAACCCCACACCAGGGCAGGGACAATCTTGCCTTTTTAATAAAAGGAGGCGCAGGTTGGTTAGTTTCAGGAGGTCCTGGGCCTCAGGACTATATGGATCTTCAATCTTGTTGGCTGGAGTTAAAGCACGATAAATCACCTGGGAAGCAAACAGAAAACACTTCCATGAGGAGAAGCAGCTTGGATGTAGCATGGACATACAGAGCTCAAGCAAACAGGCGATGCTCAGGAAAGCATCACTATCTGGGAATCTCCTCAAAAACCAGCTGACAAGTTTAAGGCACAAGGCACTGTGAGACAAATCAAATTAGTAAACACAACATTCATATTGTTCATTGCCCTACTGAGTCCTCAATATCTGAGTAGAGCAAAGTATTCTAAGCACATTAACACCCACCGAGACAGATATTGGAATGAGGTAAACCGAGGCACAGAGTGCTGAAGCAGCCTGCTCCAAAGGGTCTGAGATTAAAATAGAAATCAGGAGCACTAAATCAGTAACCTAAACTAAATGCTCCAAATGATAGCTTGTTGGAGGGCTATTAGGGATTACAATTAGCGTATCTTTTTTAAAACTGGGCCAAATTATTCATTAGAAATGAAGAGAGTGGAGATTCCTTGTCGTGGCCAAATGGTTAAGACACACTTTATATCTACTGGACGTAAGAGGCAGGGTTATTTGTTTGGAGTTTCTGGGTTGGTCAGAGGCTGTCCCTGTGACAGATTACGGTATCCCAATGGGATAATAATTTATTTTCTGGTATCAGAGCAGTGCTTAACAAAGGCTGAAGTAATATATTTTATTTTTCCTTGTAAACCACTGTTCATTTTCTCTTTGTTTGTTTTTCTGGTGAGGGGGGGAAGTGGTTATAGAGAGGCGCATTGTACTTTGTGCCAGCAAATGAGAGAGCTGGTCACATTAGTTCCCAGGCTTAGATTCCCTTTATGGATGTGCTAACTCTGATTTGAGAGCTATTTTCTCCTCTGGCTGAGTTTTGCCATCATAGCAGAGGTACTTGCCCTCGGGGTTCTTTGGCCCTGCTTTATGAGCAGTGACAGTCTCTGTCTGACTAACTCTATTAGTGGAGTGAAAGCTTTGTTTCCATAGGGATTCCCTTTCCCCCCTCTCCGTCTCTGGATTTTAAAAATTTTTAATGGACAGGCGAGTTTAAATACCTGCTGCGTGTAGAACATTTCTTCTGCCCCTCTTTGTTTGCAGGGGCCTGTGGTTGGTGCCTGACAGATAACTCTGCTGCATGTCGATGGCACATGGGAGATAAACCCCTTAAAATAACAGCGTCAGCTGCCAGCTTTAGTAGCAGACCTCCACCTGACAGTGCAGTGCTGCATAGCGGGCGGCACACTTCGTGCCTTGCCACAGCCTTTTCTATTTCCCCTTTTTATTCCCTTTCCTTAATCCACGCAGCTATTCACACAGTTGCAAGTGGGCCCATCTGTTCAGGCCATAAGTGTCCACATTCCCATGTTCAGTGGAGCTGTGGGCAGATTGCCCAGCCAGGGCAACCCACCTAAGAAATTAAGCCTTAAAGTGTTCCTCTGTGGCTTGCAGAAATGGCGCAAGATAACAGAGACCAAAAGGTTAACGCAGCCTATTTAATTCACATTCTTGTATTCCTTATACAAGCTCAATTTTCATACTCTCCAGCCAGCCACTAGCAATTACTGTCCAAGGCCTCCACAAAGTGTACACTAAGAATGCCCTATCTTTTACACTCACTCCCAATTTCACAGAGACACTACAAACTTGAAGAGAAAGTGCCTTAGAAGCATTTTGCTCCATGTTAGTTGGAAAAATATGACAGGCATGAGTCTATAACCGTGCAGACCTGGATTCTAGTGCCACTAGTGCCTCTGCCATCCTGTACATATCTGAGCAAGGCATTTAATTTCTCTTGCCTCAGATTCCCCAGCTGTAAAATGGGGGATCATAATATGGATCTACTTCACCAGGAGGGTTGGACAGACTTAATTCACTCATGTTTGTAGAAAGCTTGCAGATCTTCAGAAGAAAAGAATCTGTCTGTCTGTGCATTAGTAGGAACGTTGCCAGCAGATGAGGGACATGATTATTCCCCTCTGTTCAGCACTGGTGAGGTCACATCTGGAGTACTGTGTCCAGTTTTGGGTCCCCACTACAGAAAGGATGTGGACAAATTGGAGCGAGTCAGCAGGGGCAACAAAAATGGTTAGAGGGCTGGGGAACATGACTTATAAGGAAAGGTGGAGGGAACTAGGCTTAGTTAGTCTGGAGAAAAGAAGACAGAGGAGATTTAATAAGTCTTCAACTACCTAAGGGGAGGTTCCAAAGAGGATGGAGCTGGACTGTTCTCAGTGGTGGCAGATGACAGAAATAAGGAGCAATGGTCTCAAGTTGCAGCAAGGGAAGTTTAGGTTGAATATTAGGAAAAACTTTCTCATTAAGAGGGTAGTACAGCACTAGAAGAGGTTACCCAAAATGGTGGTGGACTCTCCATCCTTGGAGGTTTTTAAGACCTGGCTAGATGAAGTCTTGGTTGGGATGATCTAGTTGGGGATGGTCCTGCTTTGAGCAAGGGGTTGGATTAGACACACACACACACACACACAC